ACCAACATTCAAGGCGAATTGGCTGTCATTTGTTTTGACCTTCACATCCTATAAATCAGACCCTTCTATAAATAATTAGACAATTTAACAACAGCTGGGCTGTTATTAATGCGAGCTGATGGACCTTCAAAAATACAACGCGTCTTAAATAAGGAAGAGCGATGTTTAGAGAACAATAGGTACTTGGAGAGTTTGTTTTAAGAGAAATCCGCATGAATATATTGTATGACATATCTATTACTTAAAAACTACGTGTGTGTCTGAATAAAAAGTAATCTATAACAATTTTGAAGTCAGTTAGTAAAACTGTTATAGAACTAAAAAGTAACACAGTCTAAAATATAAAAAAAAACACCGTCTAAGTGTTCCGAGGGATTTTTTATGCAACTTAGAATGGTAAACAAGCTGACGGCCCACCTGACGGAAAGTGATAACCGTCGCCTATAAACATGAGCAGTACCATGGACATAACAAAGTATACTATTTCGTCCATGATACCACCCATGCGTTGCCATTCCTGAACACTCAAGTGTTATTCCTCTGTATCCAATAAATTCACACCATATCCCATCCTTCAAACCGAAACACAGCCATGCAAACACAGCTTCTTCACGGTTGAAACACGAATGGGACAGAGGTACCCAAGCAATTGAATTTTGTACAAAGTCTCCCTCTGGTAATACGACATTGGTTCTTACCAAGTAACATACTCGTTATTTTAGGTCATCTCAATTAAGGAAGTACCTACCTTACAGATTTTGATTCCCTTGCAATGTCAAAAAATATAATACTATAAACAACCGTATTCTTTGATCGCATTGACTTAAAAGTTTGATTATTTCACAGCTCTAAGCGATTGCAGATTTTAATATCTGATAATAATTTCATCTTGATACCTCCATGCGTTTCAGAAAAAAAGATTCTTGACAGATGGACAAAGTTTTTAATACTACTATGATGGCAAACAAGCATACGGCCTATCTGATGGTAAAGGGGATTACCGCAGCTTATGGACGCCTGTAACACCAGGGTTGACACACGCGCATTGCTGATCCTTATAAAATCTTAATAGGACCCTATAAAGTCTCAGTTTTTCCTTTTAAAGTACGCAACTCTAAAAAATACTTTATAATATTAGGTTAATGATATTAGATGTCGAATTAGGTATCCACGTATATTAAAATTTTATTTAAAAAAAATGTTTTGAATAAACATTTTAATGAATTACTAATTTTACAATTGATTTTATAATTTATCTTCCGATTAGACGTATTTGCCTCCAACTTGCTGGAGTGTCGTCAGATGACTACAGAATTTTTGTGTTCAGAAGTTTAAGATATAGATATTATTTCTATTATTGTTATGGGATTTTATTTTTATTAATATTATTTCTTTTAATTACACGTATGCATTATTGTATTGATGTTGTTATGGGTGAGCGTATTGAGAAGTTATAAAACGCACCCATGTGATGAAATAAGTAAATAAATAATGAAAAAATCGTCTTTTTTTATAGTTTATAATTTTATAAGTATGAGATTGATTTGAAGATTTAATGACTATAAGTTGTATAGATTTTCCAGTTTATGTTAAATATTTTTTTTTTTTTACAATTACGCATAAAGGAGTCAAGCGTTATCATTGTTTCGGAATCCGATAAAATAATTATAATTCACTTAAAAATCTAAACACTCAATTTTACCTTCCACCAATATTTATTACCTTCATCTGGCTCCAACAAAAACACAAACATTTTGACATACACTTAGATTATATAGATATAGCGTCTCTATACAAATGCTTCAAAAAAAACGGGTCAACTTTTTCATACAATTTTGCGTGATTCCTTTATAACTTCTATATTTATTTTGCCTTATAAATTCTGCATTTTTTAAATACGTGAATACTCATTTTATTTATTAAATAATACGTTAAAATACTTTTTATGCGTAAGTAAATAGAATACTGTTAAAAAAACTCATCTAATATGTCAATTAGCTGACAAAAATTTGACCCGTTTTTGAGGCTCGATACTCTATCTATATAATCTAAGGACATACATTAACATTATGCATAATTATCAACGCATAACGCCCAGTTTAACCACAATATATTTCAACATACCTATTATATTTACATTAAAATATTTCACCAACGCCCTATATGGCTGTAATTCGAAAATGCATTAAGCTTAACAAATATTATTCATTTACATTGAATTCATTTATTTTTCCCGCCAACAATAAATTCTATCGAATTTAAAAAAGGAACATCGGAAAATTCATCAGTTGCGCCATCTCTTTAATTAACATTTAATTTAACAAAGAGTGTAACTGTTGATCAATGAACGCAACTGTAAATTGTAGTATCTCAATTTACCATTCTTAAATATGTAAAGTATATATTAAAATAAAATATCTGTTTCACACAGATCTTTAACATAATAATTATATCATCTCTTCATACGTCAATCCATCATAGAGTGAAGAGTCAAGATCCCTTTCTTACCTAACGTATATCGGTTCTTGGAACTATATTTTAATTAATACCAAATATTACTATCAAATACTTCAAAATAAATTGAGAATATTCACGAACGGCGAATAAATTATATTAGTTAATTTTTTATCATAAATTCAGAAGATACCTAATTAAAACTCGAACCAATAGTCGCCAATATTTATATAATATAAAAATAAAAGATTAAGATAATTTCAAAATCATCACTAAAATATTTAAAAATTTTCAGCTAGCAACACATTTTCTCATTCCTTTTATTGAAATACTGTTAAACTGGTCATTATGAAATCGTAAAAATCCAGAGAGAATAACTATTTTTTTTTCTACGAACTAATAATTTAAAAATGTTTTATTCATCTATAATATTCTATTAAAAAAAATGTATCACGAAATGTTCTCTCTGAATCGTAAATTAATCTGTTAACATTTTGAAGGCTTAATTGTATAGTAGTCAATATTCCAGACAAATTATCTTTTTGAAGACTAGGCAGCATGGTCTCCGACCTTAGCCTGTTCCAAACGGAACAAACGTACTAAAAAAAAAAAATGTATAGTAGTCAATTTATTAATTTAAAATAATATATTTAAACATGTAACAAATATACCTACCAGATTTCAATAGCATTATTTTAACTGACTTTAAATAATCTAGAATCTCATTCCTCGGTCGCTCATTAATTTTAAAGTCTTATTTTCAATAAGTTCGTGGAACAAATTATTTTTGTAATGTACTGTATATTACAATCAAGCCATTAAAATATTAACGTAATATATTCAAATAAATAAGATACACATACATTCGTTGCTATTTTCCAAGCACATTAACTTGATTAATTGAATTAAAGGTAATTATAAAACATTACTTCTTAACATTTCTTGATTTAAATTTATATCTTGTACAAATATACATCTGTACATGTAATAAATGTGCGTAATATATGTGTACCTATTTCGTGAAAGGTTCCAACGATTATATTTAATTATATAATTATCAATTAATTAATTTAATTTAAAGTATCCATATGGGATAAAAAATCTATCTCATAAAATACCATACAGGAGCCATACAAGTGGTAAATAAATTCTTTTAACCGACTGGTTACAAAACCATTTAAAAAAAGAAATTATTTTTTAGTCAAAGAAAAATAATGTTTTCAATTTGACTTTACTTTGTGCATATGTGAATGTCTTTGTGTCTATATATTACGTAATATACTGTTTAAAATCGATAACGATTTTTTTTTTATGAAATCTATTATTTTACCGCTTGAACTAACACAATATAATTCTTCTAAATTAAAACAATTTAATCCAATACCGTACTGCTTTTATTAAAATTAAAGGCGGCTTTTTGTCGAAAATAATTATATATATATATATATATATGTGTGTGTAATATTTCATATCGCGTTCAATAAACCGAATTTAGTCCCTAAGCGTAAAAAAATAAAGACCAATTTACTTTGCTAAAATGTAAATTAATTCAGAAACTGTTTTAATTACCACTTGTTAGCAAGCATTGGAACCTCCCACAGACCACTTCCTGATTTGTCTCTTAAGCACCGTTTCAGTACAAAGCAACTGTACCGAAACAGTGCAGAAGGAAACCGTAACGTAGGAAGTGGTCTTACATTGAACATTTTGCTTCCATATTCGTCCTGTAACGTCTCATTGTATTAGATATATTCCTCATTTATTCCACAGTATACTCCAAACTCTATTGATTGTATCATATTATATTATTTCTTATCGCAACCGAGGTATATTTCTTATTCATCCTGAAATAATTAGAGTTTTTTATCGTCCATATAAAAGTCTCATTTCGTGGAGTAAAGACCATTCAAAGTAATAATAAATAGAGAATAAAAACAAATGATTGCTACTAAATGTGTATACTGAAAAATATCCAAATAAAATATAGGATTACAGAAAAAATACATATTATATTAAAAAATTTGTCTAAGGAAAAAGAATAATGTTTGAATGAATGAACGAACGAAAACTCTGTACTGTTCCGTTCAAAGAATATGTATCATTCTTCAATATATAGATCAACTATATGTACACAAACAAAATTAATAATAAATTAGATAAAGTTAATTACATAAAAACAAGATTCAGAGGCAACAATCTTTCTTAACTAAGTTGTGAAACCTTCTTTTTTTAAGTTGGTATTTTACTACAACTCATTATAATAACTTTGAGTTAGATCAATATTTTGCTAAGAATGCGCCATATTTATCAAGTAGCAATAATCTGTTCCTATACTCTATTTATACCTTGAATTCTTAAAAACTTGTAAAATTAAAATTTGTTAAGTATTTATTTCATTAATACTCATTTTACCAATTTGTGGTCAATGTTGCGATAAAAAAAATGTTCTAAATTAGATAAAACATAAAATGAGACGTTATTAGAGAACGTGGATTAACTTTAACATGAACGAGTTAGTGATGTGAACGCGCAGCGTATAGACTCACCACGTCAATGATCTGCTGTAACGTGAGTCCAAACTTGACCTCGAGAGGCTCGCTCTCGTTCGCGACCGGCCGCTCCAGCGTGTTGTAGGACGCGAGCAGCGAATTCAGCAGTCGCTTCTCATGCGGACCTTGCTCCGACACTGTGGATAGAAAGAAATAAATCAGAAATAAGACCTATGTAAAAAAAAAAACGGAAAAATAGAGGGCAAGACAGGAAGGGAAAGACCGAGGAATTGTTATTTTGATTTTAATATTTAATGTATTAAAGGAGCGAATAAAAATGCGTGTCATATTCAAAATGTACCAAACAACCAGTGTTGCAACTTTATTAAACATTACCACAGATAGTGAATGGAATATTTTTATACATATCAACAGGAATAACTACATGGGACAGATAAAAGAAACACTAGGTGTCATATCGTATAGGGAGGTCAAAGATATGGCATGAGATAGAACTGACTGGAAGAAAATGCATTAGTTAGTTGCACTGACAAGAGGAAACTCTTAATTGGAAAAAAGAGACCAAATCCCTAAGCCAGCATGTTAATAGTAGGCTAATGGTTTCTTAAATCATTCCATGTAGTAAATACATTAAGTTATCATAAATTCTCACCGGAATGATATAATAGGAAATCAAAATGCATGCAGTTTAAAGAAAATATTTCTAATTTTCCACAATAATATCGAAAACTTAAAAATATTTCCATAAATTTTTCTCTTTATTGTTTCGATATATACTTCCTTTATAGAAAGATACTGAATTGTATAGAAAAATAACCGAGTCTAACCTTAAGAGATTGTTGTAATACGATACTACCGCCTACATTGAGCTCTTTTATTTCGAGTTATCCTTTCTTGCACTTGTTCTAATCTATTGAGCTTTATTCCCCTAATCTCCTTTTGCGACATTATTGAAATGAAAAGAAATGAGGTTACATTTTATTGTTACTTCATAATTTTAATGATATCACATTAATACTGAAATATTATACGATATATTTAAAAATAAATTACATCCCATTTAGCTTCTATTAAAGTAGGAAGATCCAAAAAATAATAAGAAAAATAAATAAATAAAAAAAAATATTCAAATAAAGAAATATAGTAAATAACAATAAATAAAAGTATAAATAAATTGTTTAATTCAAGTGACAGCGGTAGACACGCCCTTTGAGTAGTTAGATTCCAAAATGTTCAACAAAATATGGACTTAAACGTTTATGGCATTCCCCACAGTGATAACAATTGACAAATGCCTTTGATTACTCTAATAAAATTACAGTGGTGAACATATTCACTTATTTTTTTAATTAAAAAAAAAAGTATTAACATAAAAAACGTATTCACTATTCAGTCTATAGACGGGACACGAAAAAGTTGATCGTTGTTTGAAGCAATACAAAATTTGCATTCGATCGCAACCTTCACGACTCCGTGTAAAGTTAGTAACAAACACTGAATAATGTAACGGTGATATTTCGTTCTCCAGACGAGACGAAACTAGAAAATAGAGCTTCCGATCTTGAACAAAAATATCGGTCTTATGAATCGATTTGATTCTAAAACTTTCCGTGACGAAATAGAGATACCAAATATCAATTTAACACCATTCGATATCGATCTTCGGATATGAACATGCATGTTAATTTAAAAAAAAAAGAAAAATACACAAGAAAATAAACAATTTTCTAAAAAAAAGAAGTAATCTACATATAACTGTACATAGGGGATAACAATTTTAAAAAAGTAACCACACACACATATATAGTCGTACAGAACAAGATGGATCATTCTCAGTCTGTACATTTTCATAACAATCTTTAGGTCAATAATACTTATATATTAGATAAAAAGATCGACACAAAAAATCAATAATCAAGATTTAACAAATCGATCTTCGATTATATCGAATCTAGATTGGAAACCCTACGAGAACTTTGAAACTCAATGCATTCCAGTTTAGTTTGCCGATACCATTAGCGATGAAAGCTCTGCATTATGCACAATTAGACAGCAGACTGTTTGAAATGTTAATATCCCGGTTCGTAACCAAGAAGTTAAACAGGACACAATTTAAAAAAATATGCTCACGACTATAATGCCTAATGGGATAATTAGAGCTGTTAGTTTACTTCTGCCAATATAATGGAATGTAACACTCCACATACCCACAAGTAACACATATGTAAATAATCTTGCGGACTTCAAATCACAAAAGTGTTAATGCAAAAATCTATTTGAGCTTTATTTAATTACTAGTTTAGGTATACAATATTTACTTTAAAATTATGCATTTTATATAAAATATATTATTTTTTACCACAATATACAAATTTACTTCAAACTTAAACCATTGTTAAAAAATTTCTCTTATCTGAAGATTTTGCATATACGCCCAATGGTTTGAAGAGCGCGACATAAACAAATAACCGTCGGCATACAGTTCATACTCTCTACTCTTTCAAAAAAACAGGCCTTTAAATTCTTATAGCGTTAGAAATTTCCAAATAAATAACATAATAATACCATTATAAGTAAATTTCTAAAACTCATGGCTGTTACATTTTGAAATCAGTAGAGAATATTTCTTGGTAAGGACAAATTACAAATCGATCGACTTAACTCGGCACCTCGCTGTAAATCACCTTTCAGTGAAATCAGTCGCTATTTCGTAAACTCACAGTAATATAGTTAATTAAAAAAAAAACAATTTGAATATATACTGTTTATATTATATACGAATGTATAATATTATTATCAATAGCAGGTGCCAAAGTAAGTGGACCAAACAATAGTGACGTGTATTTTATTCCAAACCTTAAAAAATTCATACTATCGACTAGAATAAAAAATTTAAATTCAGAACAAAACAATCTAAAAATATCACAAATAAAAAAGTACGTTAAAGGATTAACATAATAAAGACCAATCTATGGTTACTGTAATAATTATTGGCACTTGGTGAAATTAAGAATTTATTTATAACAATAAATTTTGAATACTAAACAATAGTGAAAACACTTGTAATGTTAATTATTTGACAATTTTAAAAATTCTAATAAAGAAAAGAATTAATAGAACAAAAAATAATACAAGTGCTTCCACTTATAATAAAAAACAACAATCTATTCATTTTAAAAAGTAGATAGTTTTGTTCCGATTAGACTCATCTTACAAACTAAAATACTAGTAAAGAACACCACATAATTATGAGAGCTGAGGTGTATGGAGATAGTCTGAGAACTGTAAAAAACATTGTATTAGTATATTTAATTTGCAAACGACATCCATCAATACTCGTAAAATAAATCGCTGATATTTATCAGCAATCATTGATTGAGATCACCAATGCCCAATGCCCAGTGACGAACGGTGGTTACGATCTGAATTAGGAGTGGTCAGTTTGAATCTAATAACAATGCCGATAAAGTTCATAATTAAAGTAGTGGTTATGGTTTTATTAGGACTGATCAATTTAAATCTTATTACAGTGGTAATAAAATTCATAATTAAAGCATAATTGTTATATTAATAACAGTATATATTGAAGTAACTATTGACTCTTAACAATAATGAGATCGATATACTAGTTTGCGCATGCTCATGTTTCAATCAAGAAATTACACAAATACTTTAAATATAACCTTGTTAGAATGTCGAGTTCAGTTAAATAATTATTTATGTATTTATGTATTAAATATCTATTAAGACTAGACAGAATATTAATAAAGCATACGCGAATGCTTAATAATGACATAAAATTGCTTGAAATTATTTTTTTAAATAATAATGTTTGCAGGGAAGTAAAATGCCTTACTTATACAATACTATCTATACTGGATTAGAAAAGTACTCAAAATCGAAACTTATGGATCCAATAAAAAATATTTGCAATACCCAGTATCACTCTTTCATCCAAAATACCTTAGAGTTTGAAGATAAAGATCTTTAACCAATGTGTTTTCCCAGTTATGGCCTATGGAACCAAAACATGATCCTACGCCCTTGTTCGCATGCAAAAGTTTCAAATTACTTAGAGAACTATGGAGGGGGTTATGCTCGAAGTTTCTTTGCGTAACAAAATCCGAAATGAGGATATCCGCAAAAGAATCAAAGTGACCTACATAACCGAAAAGATAAGCAAGCTGACGTGGCAATGGGTTGGTCATATAGCTCAAAAAACCGACAATGTGATGATGATGAGGAAAAGCCACTAAATGAAGTGACGACCTCAAATACATTGCAGGAAGTCAATAGATGCAGATGACTCAAGAACGTTACCTATGGCAGTCTATGGGGAGGTCTATGTCCAGCAGTAAACAAATAACAGCTGATATGATGATGGCCCAGTATCAATACAATTATAATTTATGCAAATGCCGGTCTAAAGACATAAATGTCTATGTCTTGTTTAAAAACTCTTAAAATATGTAAAATTAAAAGGTATAGGTATTAGATATCGATATAAAACAAATGTACTTCACCAATATAAATGCAATAATTATAGCAGTTTACAAGAAAATAGCAGATCACAGTGGACACATAAAATTCAATGTTACTTCCATGCGCGGACCATTATAATTTTATGACTTCCCCCTGAGACTCGTACCTAACTTATAAGATCCCATAGCACACGACCCTAGATAAAATAAAAAATTAATACAAGAAAAAACATTTATAGCAAATTGAGTAAGTCCACATGGCTCTCTTCGAAAACTACCCATCCACCTCATGAATAACGACTGGATAATACCTTTATCCACACACCTGTACTACAATAGAATCTAGATTTACAACCGATCTTAATACAAAGCCATAAAATCCAGTTTGGTTCATGCTATTTTTCTAAAATTCACAAGAGTCCGGCTCGAAGGACCAACAATAAACACTTATTTTAGGGGCTTAGATCGCACTCATGAATGTGATGTATTGAGGTTACAATGTGACGGATATTACGCAGATAGCTGCTACGTATAGACGTAGGATTAGAATTCTAGAATGAGATAAAACACTCCTGGGAACTGCAACTAAAGAAGGTTGATATATTTTACACTTTAGAGGAATTTTATGTTTCTAAACAATTTTATAGTACTTTCGGAAAATTGCTTTCAAAAGAGAGAAAGGTTTCGTGTAATTC